GTGCACTTCAATCAAGAGTGATAGAAGCAGAGGAGAATTTCAAAAATATTGAACAGCTAATGTCACAATGGCGTAAAATACCCCTATTTCAAGGAAAAGAACGTAAATACGATTGTTATCTCCCCTTGGAAGATCGTATTACTATAAGAAATGCTAGATTTAAAGAAGTTGATGTGGTTGGTAAGAAAATACATGAATTAATTAAGGTAGGTAACATGATACTATATATATATATATATATTGATGTGGTTGTGTACTCTGAGCTGGATAGTTAATTTCCTAAGCTTTGATCGCCCCTTACTAGGCGACATCTTCAGCGGATACTTCTATTTGAATTGAAGTGAGCTTCTGGATTTCTCCACGAGTTTATTAGTCAGTCATCTCTCCTGGTGGGTGACCTTAAACGTGACTCTCCGGACGTTTTTGTGTGTTTTCACACTTTGGTCTAGGTTACTTGTATTGGAACTGATTGTTGCTTTGACTTGAACTTTGACCCTTTGTGTGTGAGTGTGTGTGAGGTTTCTTTCTTATCGGTTGATAAATTTTGTCTATCTCAATGTGTCTATTGATTGATGATTCAATGGAATGCCAAACTTCTAAGAATTCTCAGAGAAATGACACAGAAAATCGCCTTACCATATATACAGGATATCTCAGAAATCACTACAAGAAAAAAAAAAAAAAAAAAAAAAAAAAAAAAAAAAAAAAAAAAAAAAAAAAAAAAAAAAAAAAAAAAAAAAAAAAAAAAAAAAAAAAAAACGAAAGAAGATAAAACCAGTGTCATCTACAAAATAAATTGTAACAACTGCGAAAAACACTACATTAGCCAAAGTGGACGTCCCCTTCGTCTGTGTATCCACGAACATAAGCTAGCCGTCAAAAGACATCATATCCACTCCCTCATATAACTCACTACACACAGACAACCATGGACATCAATTCGACTGGGACAACCAACGTTCAAATATTAGACAGAGGAAACAACAGGAATGCTAGAGAATTCTTAGAAGCCAGCCTGGTATTCAAGTGAATCACCAATCAATAGACACATTGAGATAGACAAAATTTATCAACCGATAAGAAAGAAACCTCACACACACTCACACACAAAGGGTCAAAGTTCAAGTCAAAGCAACAATCAGTTCCAATACAAGTAACCTAGACCAAAGTGTGAAAACACACAAAAACGTCCGGAGAGTCACGTTTAAGGTCACCCACCAGGAGAGATGACTGACTAATAAACTCGTGGAGAAATCCAGAAGCTCACTTCAATTCAAATAGAAGTATCCGCTGAAGATGTCGCCTAGTAAGGGGCGATCAAAGCTTAGGAAATTAACTATCCAACTCAGAGAACACAACCACCGCTGATTGGTAGTTAGTGATGCTTAAAGTTTAACTCTGCCCTTTTCTCCTACACTGAATGTAGTACATTTCGATATTGATTTCGGAGTTATGAAATCTTGTCTTGCTCAGTTGATCCTAACTTTGACATCATTACCTGTGCAGCCTATAGTTGAGACAATTCTCACTAAGTAGGAGGAAGAGATGACTCTCTTTAGATTTCAGGAGTTGACTGGTGCTTGTTCTTGTTGTCAGTAAGATGTCTTCATCATCTCTCTTTTCCATGTATTTTCACTCGAAATTATTTCTTCACAAGCTTTTGTGTTAAACTGTTAGTTTTAGAGTTTCCATGACATTGGACATAAATTAGCCACGATGTCCACGTCTTCTTATTGTCATATTGTCGGCCTAATATTCCTATTTAATTTAGACATTCTCCTTAATTTGTAAAACAATCCAAATTATTTTAGTATACAATTGGTGGATGGTGGCTAGCAGTGGAATCCAAGATGCGCATTTCGTCCTATTTGGGACTCGTCAGCTGGATGTACCTGCATTTCTCAGTGAGTGATGATGTTCCCACCGAGGCTCGAACACAGTACCCATAGTTTCAAACTCCAAAGTGTTATCCACTAGACCACTTGGGCCACGAGAGCCACCTCTTGTGCAACGGGTCAAATTAATTATTGAATTGAATTCTTGATTTCCCGTCGATTGATTGGACCGAAGTGCTCGGTTTCAGGTTGACGGGAAAATCAAGAATTCAATTCAATAATTAATTTGACCCGTTGCACAAGAGGTGGCTCTCGTGGCCCAAGTGGTCTAGTGGATAACGCTTTGGCGTTTGAAACTATGGGTACTGTGTTCGAGCCTCGGTGGGAACATCATCACTCACTGAGAAATGCAGGTACATCCAGCTGACGAGTCCCAAATAGGACGAAATGCGCATCTTGGATTCCACTGCTAGCCACCATCCAACAATTGTATCCTAACTAAATGCCCGGACATCGTCGAAGCATCTGCACAAGAAGTCGACATGTCAACCTGAGACGGAGCGCTTCGGTCCAATCAATCAACGGGAAAATCAAGAATTCAATTCAATAACCAAATTATTTTAGTTAGTAAAAAGGAGCTCACTAAGAACTGTAAGTGTTTTCTTCATTTTGTTGAAGAATTCCATAGCGTTTAGTTGCCTTTATCTGGTGTTTATTTGACATAACTGTATGGTTGAAACAATAAGAAATGCAAAAGAGTTTAAGCAGCATTTTAATGAATAGAAGTTCCGGTAGCCCAGTGACTTAATCAGCCTGCTAGACCTGAACTTTAACCACACTATCTGTTGATTCTTTAGCCTGTCAAACCTAACTTCGTGGCCAGGCTGTTCTCGACATCGTCTCAACTATTGAAAGGAGAGTATAACACTTCCGGCTGCCTAAGGGTATATCTATTATTGATGATATGAAGAGATTATAGAGATACATAATCACACCACACCACAATACTTCAGCTGAGCTCTCGTTCTTTGAAAATCCAATTGTCTACCATGTGCTTCAATCCACACAGATAAACCAATTGATCAATGAAGGTTAGATTGATTTGACAAACTTCAGATCAAATGTTTGATTACTGTATATGAATAAGAGATTGATTAGAGTTACTAAAACATGCGAATGCTGGGGAAGATCGATAGAATAACTGGTATTTTTGGATCAAGGTTGTTTATTACTAAAGATTTCCGAAGTAGGATTGGTTCTATCCTCTCACCTTTCCTGATCGATCGTCCTATATCTTTTTGATTTCTTAAAAAATCTTCTATCTAACCACCTTCTGCATTAAGAAGTTAAAACAATCAGGAATCATTCAACCCCCCCGTCTCACTTCTAAAATTTATTGATTCTTGCATCTTACCTATTGTATTTTACCGCTCTCTGTTAGTCATTCCTGGTCAACTCAAGAAAGGCTATTGTCATACTGGGAAGAGTATTAAAGGTTGTCAGTAGGGCTAATGGTATACCATTTAGTCAGCTAGTTACTACTGCGAGAAATAGTCGAAATCCATATTGTCTAACTCTCAACATCGTTTCTATTCGTAACTTTCCCTGCCTTACGTCTTATCAGATAGAACCCTAGAAGTCATTATTTAAGATTATTTGCTCACTCGTACAACTAAATAAAAAGATACTCAACGATACCCTATTTGGTCAGCATACTGTGAGATATAGGGGTAACGTTAAGCGGGAAACCTACAATTCACTATGCTATTAGCAAAATGATTGACTCTTTTATCCTTTCCTATTTGTATCACATGAGTACTGTTTGGAAATAAAGCATTATTATAAATTCCTTTAATTCCTAGAAGGACATACGGCTTCAGCCGCGCGTCTCCATTACGTTCGGTTCTCTAACAACGTTTCCACCTGGCTCCACATCTGCCCGCATGCTTTCACTTACTCTTCACATGACCTCCTCCGTGTCACCCTCGCACTGACCACCAACTCGTCGCTTCTCATTCGGGTTCCACCCGACAGCTTGTCCAGTGACAGCACTTGATAGTTTTCTTAGAGTATGACCACCAATCTACCTCCATTTCTTCCTGCATATTTGTTGCACAATCACTTCCGGGTTGGTTCTCTCCCAGAGATCCCTGTCGCTCATCGTTTCTGGCTTGCCATCTCATCTTGAGTATTGAGCGAAGGCAGATGTTGATGAAGGTCTCTAGTTTGTTCGACGTGCCCTTCGTGACTCGCCAAGCCTATGATCCATATAGTAAGTAGCACTGACTTCATAGTGGAGTTGAAAATCCGGATTTTGCTTTTTATGCTGAGTGCTGTTGATCTCCTCTACACAGACTTGAGAGAAATGAAGTCATTCCTTGCCTTCCCGATCCTCACTTTGATATCCTCGTCAGTTCCGTCCGTCTGTAGTTGAAACGATGCCTCCCAGGTGAGTAGGTAAAGGAGGTTGTTTCTTTCAAATTCCTCCCATTCATGCTGGCTGATTGTTGTCTGTTGTCGTTGTTGCTGCTGTTGGTGTTGGCCAGGAATCTTCGTCACCTCTTTTTTCTCTTTGTTCACCTGAAGTCCCATCTTCTCTGTATGCTTCTTTTATCACCAATTTGTTGCTTTCCACTTGCATATCTTCCAGTTTGTGGGAAATCAGACATATATCATCGGCGAAGTGCAGATCCTCCAAGTGTTTTGTGTGGGTTGATTTTATGCCTGTCTCCTCGTTGCCCGCTGTCTGTCGCATTATCCAGTTTACCGCAATCAGAAAAATCATTGGAGATAGTAGTGGGCAGCCAGCTCGTCTTACTCCCGTCTTCACTTCTTCGAAGGATTCCGTAAGTTTCTTGTTGTGGATTACTTGGCATGCAGCGTTGTCGTACAACTGCTGGATGAGATGTATAATTGTTAGTGGCACCCTGTAATAGCGAGGTAGTTTCCGAATCACCTCTCGATCGACGCTGTCTGCTGAAGGACTTTTCAAAGTCGATGAGGTTTAGATAGATAGCTGACTGCCATTCCAAGCTCTGGAGTTGAAAATTGTCATTATTGTTATCATTTTTCAATGGTTGCCTAACTCCCCCCCCCGGGTTCGTAATGAAATCCGCCATTATTTCTTGTAAAAAAAAATTTAAATGTTACTTTTCTTTTTTTTAGCGAAATCAAGAATTATACCGTGCAAATCCATCAAGTCCTGATTGGAATGCATATTTGGAATCAGCTGAATATGTCATTATTGAAGGCTTGATTGATACAGTCTGTTGTAGCCTGATGTATTTATCAACGCATACAGAAAAAATGAAAGTGGAATTACCAATTATGGAGACAAAATTAGATTTAGCAGTAAGTTACATACATTTATTTATGGTACTATATACTACTGATTGTGTGATATAAGTAGTTGAGTGACACTCACTGAAATTAACGAGTAGTGTTTTTCTGGCTAACCACATCAGATGGTCATTTTGCTCGTTATACTCTGGGTTTATCAGCTCACAGGGTCGAATTCGCTCAGTACAAGCGAATTCTGACTAGCTACTTGGAAGAATTGATAATACAGGGAGTCGATTTGCTATGTGTGAATTCCATTCAGCATTCCGCTGCATTTTGATGGGGGATTTTCGTCTGAGACTGTTTAACTGTTTCTTTTCCACAGAATTTATTTTTGATATTCTCAACAATTAACAATTTTGTACCAGTATCTTTTAATACTGTTAACGACACTGGAGGCTTTCCTATAAGGAAATAAGGTTTCAAGTTTGAGCTTTTAGGTTTCAGTAGCGATTATGCCTTTTTGCGGGATGGGGTTGCTAGTATCAGGCACAACCTCTTTTTATCGTTTGATGATAGATCTGTGTAAGTTAGAGAGCTATGGAAAATAAGCTGGGAGTACTGGACAACAGTTTCTTTCCACTTTGGGACTTGTCGTCAGTATGCACTCACTTGGATTCAAACCCATGATTGTATTTACTATTGGCTAAGCAAAGTTTAGGATTGTGTCGCTTGTGAGTCGAATCCGGGCCACCTGTGTAGTGGAACACAATTCTACTATTGAACCAATGACGTACAATACTGAAGACCGCTTTCTGTGAATCATTTGCTACAATTTGTTAATTAGTTTCTAAGTGTGTGTTCTGAACTGACTAACGTCTTACGATGTATCTGGATAGGAAGAAATCAGTCCCAAGTTACATTTCCCAAAACGTTTGATTATGTCTCTAACTTTGGCAAAGACTGAATTACAGAGATATGAGTACGTGTGACAACCTGTGAGTGAACTCGAAATTCTCTAGTTGCAATATGCAGACGAATGTTAACATGAATAAAACTTCTTCCAAACCACGCGTAACATTCTGTTCATTTACAGGAATTTTAGGGTAAATAGTAACCTGAAGCCCAATCTTCCCTCTAGTATGGTCCTACTACTAACTAAGCCGGGTTCAAGAGTCTGCCTTGGCCGGGAGTCGAACCGTGACCGCATGCGCGGTTGGCAAGCTGGACTGCCGACGCACATGTTATTGGTGTACAGGTTATTATTACTTCAATGTTAAAATGATTCCCCAATAGGGTTATACTCTACCACAACTGTACCTTTGTTGTTCCCTCGGGTTCCCAGTGGAACATACGGCTTCAACAACCCATCTCCACTTTGTTCAATTTTCTGTTGTCCCTTTTAGCTGGGCTCATGATCGCTCATAATCTCTCATCTCCACCAACTCACATGATCTCCATAACGTTACACTCGGATGCCCCACTCTTCGGTTCCCATCCGGGTTCCACTCGAATGATCACCATGGCGTGCGATGTCATTCAATGGTCCCCTTAGTGTGTGCTGAATCCATCTCGAATCCATCGGAATGATACTTGACCAGAGTGGATTCTTGGTTGGTTTGTTCCCGTAGTTTCTTGTTTGCTAATTTTATTCTGGCTGACCAAATGATATTCAATAGGTGGCCAGCTAAGGCAGCTATGTCTGCAACTTGCTGGATATGCTTTTCGTGACTCACATGGAGTGCAAGTTTCTCATCTATATAGAAGAACTGACTGACTGACTGACTTTACATCTGTCTTGAAAATATGTATCTAGTTCTTTATGCTGAGGCAGAGTGCAAAAGATTTCCAAAGTAGTTTCAGGTTGACGAAGGCGTATCTTGCCTTTACGATTCTGGCTGGCTGGCTTTGAAATCGTCGTCTGCTCCGCCAGCTATGGTTGAAACCTCTGTCGAATCTTTCCCGTTGATGGTGATTGCTGCTGGTTGTTGTTGCTGTTGGTTGGTTAGCTGATTATCTTCATCACCTCCATCTTCTCTATTATTATTATTATATCCTTTAATCCCTAGAGGAACATAGGGCTTCTGCTGCGCATCTCCATTGCCTTCGGTTCTCTGCCAACCTTTTCACCCCTTTTCAAGTCTGCCCACATATTTTCATCTCCTCTTCACATGACCTCCTCCAAGTCACCCCACCATTGGACGACCAACTCTCCGCTTCCCTTTCAGGTTCTACTCGACCGATGGCTTGTCTAGTGATGTCAATTGATGGTTTCCTCAGCGTATGGCTAATCCATCACCATTTCTTCCTGCCTATTTGTTTCACAATCGGTTCCTGCTGTGTCGGTTCGCTCAATGCCAGAGATCCGTGTTGCTGATCTTTTCTGGCCAGCCATCTGATCTTGAGTGGTATTGAGCGAAAGCAACTTCTCTATGCTAACCTGTAATCTGTCCTGTCTTCGCTAACTACTTCTTCAGCTAGTTTGTTGGCTTTTGCCTGCAAGTCTTCCAGTTTGTGTGACATTAGGCATAAATCATCTGCAAAATCCAGATCTTCTAGAGTCTTTTTTTGGTCTGCCCAAGATACTTCCGTCTTCTCACTTCCCCCCTCCCTCCAGTATGATGCATAACCCAGTCCACCACAGTTAAGAAGAATATTGCTGGTAACAATAGGTAGCCTTGTTTTATTCCTGTATTTACTCTACTCTTATATCTCCGCTTCTAGAGTAAGTGAACAAAAAAAAAAAAAAAAAAAAAAAAAAAAAAAAAAAAAAAAAAAATAGTAAAGTCCTCAGTCAAAGAGAAGAGTCAAATGATGAGATCGGAGAAATTTTTTAAAAAAAAAAAAAAAAAACTGTAGTGTAACATGCTAACTAGATGTCTAACTCGAAATTCCGGGAATAATACGAATGTGATTTCAGGTCAAATACCAGCACAGGTAACTGTCAAACAGGATTGAGATGACTATAGATTCTCTCTCTTAAAAAATGTCTCCTTCCTCGTCTTTCCTAACCAGTAAATATTTAAAAAAAAGCTGTCTAGTCTGTGATATGCATGGCGAAGATTCATAGTAATTATTGTTTGACATCGAGCGACTGTTGTGTCTTTAAAACACAAAGTGGCCTCATGTTGCAAGTTCTGTGTAAGAGAGTAATTGTTAGGAAAATCCCATCTTAGTGATCTTAGAATTTAAAACTAACTTTGTAATTATTTAAAACAATTAGTTCCCTTTATGAATTTAGATAATGCAATAAGAAGATGCAATTTGTCTGAATCGTGTAGTGTTGTATTTGCGCAACACATTTCAGACAATCGGATCCCATACATGGACATATCAAATGTGAGAAAATAGACTTAGGTCAAGTTAAAAGGACATATTCAAGGTCAAAATAATAATGTAGACCACTAAACCAAATAGCAGAGGTAATAGTACATCTACCCTGGCTGGTATCAAAACAAAATATACCAAGGAAGGTTTAATGTGATGACAAATTGTTGCTTTGAACGCATAAAGGTGACTTGCACTTTCTAATTCCTAGGGCTTCCACAAACTTTAGGATACGCCCCAAACACGTTTTACAGATAGGTTTAAAAGATCTGTTAACATCAATTTTATGTCCTGTCTCTATAATATGTTTCGCGATAGAAGCGCTAGGTCTCCTGTTCGTACAATTAGTGGGTTTTGGCGTCAAAAAATGCTTCTGGAGGCATTTAGGAATATGCTGTGAAGCCCTTACTTGCAGAGATCGAGGAGTCCTCCATTAGTATGTGTGTCCACACGTACATTCAAAGAATAAGAAGACTTGATTTGTCGTTATTCACTAATGTGCCTTTGATCAAAACAGTTGACATTTTTGGTGTGATTACATTTCCACAAACAGCTTTTTCATCCTGTTTCCTATATCTTATTTAAGCGATTTATTACTTCTATGTACTAACAATGTTAGGTTTACATTTGAAGGCGACTGTTTCCGCCAAGTTGATGGTGTTGCTATGGGCAGTCCGTTAAGGCCCCTTTTAGCAGATATTTTTATTGCAATATTTTTATGTCGCACATTGAGAATTTATCGGAGGATTTAATCGAAAATGTGCCACTTTATAGAAGGTATGTAGATGATATCGTAGTCATCAGTGATAAGCCTTGTTCTGCTACCTCAATTTTAAATCGAATGAATGAAGTTCAGAATAGCATATCACTTACATCTGTAGAAGAAGATAATTGTTTATCTTTCCTAGACATATTGCTTAGTCGACAGCTTGATGGGTCAATAAAAAGATCTATTTATAGAAAACCTACCTGGACAGGACAGTATCTTAATTACCACAGTTTCTGTCTGGCCTGTTCGGTACAAAAAAGCCTCAGGAAAGTGCACTGAAGACACACTTGATGAAGAAGAAAGAAAGTTGACACAAACTCTGGTTGATAACAATTATCCAGACAAGTTCATCAGAAGATATAAAGTAGTCAGAACACCAAGACCCACTCTACAACTCGCCCCTAAGAAAGACGTGTACACCGAGCTACCCTATATGGGGCACTCTTGAGGTAATTCTGAGTATTTGATTTTATCACTGTTAAGTAGGAACCACATAGATCTTACGACGAATGACCATCCTTTTGTTGTGTTTAAGGCGTTTCGTGACTGTATGTGTCTCAAGGAAGTTTGGATCAGATATGCAGTAGGACGCAAAGATCGGTTTCTTGCGTTCATATCGATCAACTGTGAAATTTGTGGGACGGTCATAAAAGCCTTAAACTGGCTTAAATGGTTAGTAGTTGTTTCAGGGTTGTGCAGTGTGCAGCTGTAATAATGAGTCAATAAAATCGGGGAGTGTTGGAGAGTTATTTCACCCTCATTTGGGATTCTTCAGTATTTCACATCCGTGACCTGAGTGAGAATCGAACGCAGAACCTTCAGCTGAGAAGATGCGATAGTTTACCAAACTCATCGACTTGGAAGGCATCTTATGGTTCATCAGGTCTCTCTTCTCTCAGTTTGAGATATCTGTAAAGCCACTGGTAGCCAGTGTCATCCCTGGCGAGTATTTGAGCTCACACGGTTTCACACTGGAACTTCGAGCGACTTCGTCCTGTCGTAAGTCACTAGTAAGTACTAGATTAACTTTCAAGTGTGAATTAAATCTAACTGATTTTCTTCTGTGTTGAATTTTCCAGGTTGATCGTCTTGCCTATTCCCCTGATGTACAAGAATCACAGGCTGTAAATCTTCTAGAAATATTCAACAATTTAATACAAGACATCACTGACCAATCACGTTTAATCTCATCGTTAATTAATCCTCAGGATATAACTCCGACTGTAAGCAATTCACCAACACCGACAACAAGTCAACCAGGAGGTCAGGTGGAAGGTGGACTACCATCACAAACAATGGAAACAGTGAATGAAACAGCTCCTTCTGAAACTGTACCACCGTTGGCGACAGAACCTTCTGAAGTACCAGAAACAGCAGTGGAATCAGAACCACAAGCATCAGCGCCACCAATTTCAGAGGAGAAATTAACGGTTCAAGAATCTGAAGTTGAACAAAAAGTAAAACACAAAACATCACTGCCAGGACAAGATGCAACTGATATGGATTCCTATGAAAAAGTCAAGTCACTCACAGGATTCTCTCAACAAGTTCTGTTGACACCAGAAGTTACTGATCTCATAAAAACAATCACTGATCATATACGATCAGCTATGTACGCTGCAATGGATTATCAACAACAACTGGAGAGTAATTATTCCTTTTATTGGACTGAAGATCGTACAGAATTTATTAAACAATTTTGTCGTTATGGTCGTCTATTAACTAAAGATGATATCGGTCCCACAGGGGAAATTGAAGCGCATGAAAATCCGCCAACGCTAGATCAATTTCGTGAACAAATTATTAAATATGATCGTGTTTTTGAAGAAGTTGAACGGATAGATGATTCAAAATTATTTGATTCATGGTTAAAGGCTAATTTGAAACCATTTAAACAATCCCTATTATCAGTGATTAGACAATGGAGTGATAAATTTAAACAATATCTTCTTAGTCATGTTACAACTACTCTTGAGAATTTACAACAATTTGTTAAGAATAGTCAAGCAGATTTAGAAATTCCTACAACTGATATCGAATCAGTGGAATATAACAAATTAGTCACAATACTAGAGCGCTTAAAGTTAATACGTGAAGCTGAAGAGGCAACAGATGCTGGTTTTGAACCATTAAGAGAGACTGTAGCTTTATTAAAAGAATTTGGTGAAGAATTACCTGAGTCAATGAATAAATTATTAGAAGTAAGTTCTTCATTGTGTGTATTTCAGTTAATGTTGTTGTTATGTTGCAGAAACACTTTGTTACTGTGAACACACATGACCAGACAGAGAGACCTACGAACATAGGAAGAAAATAACAAAAGGCTTAACGAGATAATTACAAGTTTCAGGGTTGATCAAGAGTTGGTAACAGCTAGGGAGCCAATAGAAAATCAGGGATTACTGGGAAGTTGTTTCGTCTCAGTTTAGGACTCTTCAAAATTACGCATCCAATAGGATTCGAAACCAGAACCTTCTGGTTTTGGCATAAGTTGAAATTCATGGGCCGTTGCATTCCGTCCTAGTGGCTGAGTAGCCTACAAGCTCCCCTTGTGACTGAAGCGTTCTGGGTTTGAATCCCGGTAGGCGTGTGCCGCTAGCAGGTCTGATTTTAAGACAATATAGCTATTCAGTACAGTCGGGTTTCTCAGGGGTTCTCTAAGTAATGTCACGTCACGATGAATCCTGTAATACGCGATTACACCATTATTAGCAATGTGCTAATAGATGAATAAAGCACAGGATCCAGAAAATCACTAGTGGGGTTTACTCTCTGGTGAATATATATCCCAGGAAAGACAATCAGTTATTTCCTTCCCATCCATCTGTGTGTATTATAGTTCCTCGTTTCTCCAACCATTGGCATAATGGGTATTGAATGATTTGACTTTTTCTCTGATATTCTTTTGATGAATCCTTTCCGTAAAGTGGCTCCGTACAATTGAATCGCCCAAAATTTATTTTAATGGATTAAAGATACCCATTCAAAGTTTCAAAAGATTGATTCTTGAACAAATAATATTCTTCTTTTCGATAACTTCATCATCAGGTTCTACAGTTATTTATCCATTCATAATAATGAAAGAATGATTGCTATTGACTGACAGCATTAGTGGTTTTTAAAAAGAGATTAACATGGAATCATTTAGATCAGAATTCTAAAAGTTATTTGCAACTAGATTGCTTTAACGGATTATAGGGATAAGTTAAACATTAAGCACCACTAACTACCAATGGAGTGCGACCGCACCAATGACCTTGAAGCGTCCACTGAGCAAGTTACCAAAACCTGGCATATAAATTTGTCATCATCAATAAAATATCCTCATCGAAGTGTTATGCTGTTAAATGGGATTTCTGGCAGGTTCCACCTTAGGTTAGGGAAAGATTAAGTTACGGTTTAAGCCAATGACAAGTTAGGGTTAGGTTAACCTATTAAATGTGATATTAGCGCTAGTTCCAGTTAGATTACAGTTAGTTTAGGCATATTTTCACGTTAGGGTTAGGTTCAGGAAAGATTAGGGTCATTGTAAGGATTAGAAGACCTAAATAATTACATGCATAGAATGTGGTTAAATTACTCTGTTGATATAAGAATAGAACTTGTGCACTGTGGCAGTAAGTATAATTCCATTGCGGGTAAATCTATTTTGATAAATTCTCACAATATTATACAGTAACATTTACTGATGACCACGTTTCAAGCACAGTTTATTGCTCAATAAATATTACTGTGTTACACTATATGAGACTTCATCAAAATAAATTTTATTCGCAATGGAATTATACTCTGTGTTGATACTCCAACCTAAAACTGAGAGCTACATTTATCACATGAGAGAGGAAGGTATCCTCTGTAACACTTTTCTACAGTTTTTATACATCTTTTTCATAAATATGTGTATTCCATACACAAAAGTGCCTCCTTCATGTGATTGGTGCTTTCAAGGTCATTCGCTGATTGGTAGTTGGTGGTGCTTAAAGTTCAACTTTGCCTTGGAAAGTAAGTGATTATGATGGTGGTCGAGCTAAATTACGAATTGGTAGAAGTTAGATGTCATGGGCTGGCCACTGAATCCGGTCCCAGTGACTGAACGGTCTACGAGCTAGCTTTCTTTGTTACCGGAAGGACCTGGGTTCAAAACCCTGTGGTGGGTGCGTACTGCCAATGATTCACAGCACTCCTGGTGGTTTTTAATGGTCCTCTAACTGATATCAATTCGTGATCAACTTGCAAAAAACAAATCTAATCCTTACAAACCAACTATTGAAAATGGTTATGAGTGACAACGAATGTACAGTAATAAATTCTCATGAGTTATGTTCATATTAAGTTCCATTCATATTGGTTACAGGATTTCATCGTGAGCTGAAATTGGTTAGAGAACCATTGGAAAACCTGCAGGGAGTACTGGACAGCTGTTTCATCCTAGTTTGGGACTCTTCATCAGTACACACGCGCCACAACTGGGTTCGAACCCAGGACCCTCTGGTTACAAGGCGAGCTAGCTCGTAGACCATTAAGTCACTGGGATCCGATCCTATGGCCATGAATTCTAACTTCTGCCAATTCACGACATAGCGCGACCCAAACTAGGACGAAACAGCTGTCCAGTACTCCCTGCAGGTTTTCCAATGGTTCTCTAACCAATGTCAGCTCATGATGAAATCCTATAACCAACGAAATCCCTAAAAATCAACACTTGAATGTTCATTCATATTGATTTAAAAACTTCAGATGGATGAATGATCATGTCAAGGATGGGGGATAGACAAAAAGGGTTTTTCAGGGTTGAAATTTACGTGCGCTTTATGTGTGTCAGTGTGTAAGTTAACTATTACGTTTAAATAAGAAAATGAAAGATTAGTTAGTGAATGCAAGTGTAATTACAATGCGTAGGGGAATTTATGCATACAGGATAGAGGGCCATAACAAAAGGGGCCGTTGTAATAAGGTATTTATGAATTTGCAAACTTTACAGCAGGCCAAGGCAGTAACAGTGGTTGGACCTGTTTCTTCTGCATACAGAGCACCGGTTATATCAGGTGAATCACGATAGCCTCTGCTGTTTGGTGTATGCGGTACCTGAATGATTTTGACAGTTAGTTTGGTACCCGATAGATGATGAGTGATAATACTTTTTCACGACCACTATTGTATTCCCACTGTATTAGGACTGTTTCATTTATATGTACAATAACGCCTCCATTCAATAAAATAGCAGCTCTCTTCATCTTCCACGATACAATATCTCTCTGACGTGCTGGTCCCACTGAACGGTTGAAACGAGACTATTTTCCGTTTTACTCAGAATATTTAAAAAATCTGAGGTGATAATAAATGGGGTCTACCAAAACAATGTTCCCACGAAATAGTGCAATCATTAGCTTACACCTTCCCTCAAACTAACTTGTCTCAAACAAATACCCACAACGGTGAACATATCCATCAACCTATCTACAGAAGCCTTTTTACACTCATGATACGTCTGCAGGAACAAAATTCTATCCTTTCCAAACAATTCTATATATCTAAGCAGTACTGGAAAACCTGGTCTACACCAAATTTCTGAAATAACTCCATAAAAGGCGACATTTCACTTGAATCAAGCGGAAAAAAGCCTTGATATCACGTGATTGGTGCGTTCGAGGTTATTTGTCCTGGCGCTTAAAGTTTCACTTCTTCACATAACCTAAGAAGTCATTCAAAAGATAACATTCCATAACTAATTAAATTTTTCACATGAACTGTGATTAAGATTTGACCGGATAATTGCAAAATATTTGAGCACCGAGTGAGAAGGAGACATTTATAAAATTATATGTGTAAAATCTCAGCGAAATTGAAATGAATAATTCCAACGTTTCCAGCGTTCGGCAATCTGGTCCGAATGGTAAATTTAAAATAGACATTTTCAGAAAGCCGACAAATTCGGACAGATACCTAGACTACTACTATTCAGCACACCCCCTTTACTACCAAAGCAACTGTGATCAAGAAACTGATTAACAGAGAAGAAGGAAGAGATTGGCAAGGAACTAGAATTGGTTCAATCCACTCTTGAATCAAATAATTATCCTAAAGCTTTCATAAAGAGATATTTAAAATGTGAAGATAAGGAAGGATGGATAGAAACCTGTTGCAAAGAATTGGGTTAGTACAGCAGTGATTCCTTACTGCAAAGAAACATCGATCATAACATGAGAGTGTATTTTCGTACAGCTAACACCTTACGCTCTTCCTGGTGAAGGTTAAGGATAAAATAGAAGAAGAAAACCAATAGAAATGTGTATACCAGATCAATTGTGGGGACTGTGTTGCTGTATATGTAGGAGAAACTTCCAGACAGGTAAATATATGAGTGAAAGGGCATAAAAAATTCTAAAGGTGATTTTAAAGACCTCTGCAGACTTAAAAAAGTAAGAAAACAGAACAGTGGTTGCACTGCATTCAACAGAAACGGGACACAAAATCGACTTTGATAAGACTGAGGTTTTACAGAAAGGTTTTGGTTCATATAAAGAAAGACTGACTGCCGAGGCCATAAATATATGGGTCAATCCCAACAGTTTGAACAGACGTGGAGATTTGATGTTAGCTGATGCAAGGCAAATCCTGATTAATAAATAAAAATTGGGAATGTATCAACAAATAGTCACACTTGTTCAAATTCCAGATTGTCCACGAGTTCTTATGGAGAGAATAACAAATGTTTTAGGACTGTTCACCCACACACACACACAAACACACACCATTATATACTGCATACTACACATATATTTTAACATAAGTAGACTAATTTTGAAAGTCTGAGGTCAAATCTTGATCACAGTTCGTACAGTTTTGTTTATTATACATGTTGATGTCTGTTTCATGGCTCATGATTGGACAAAGTTTTAAATAACAACAGATGTCTTTTTATATATATACCCCTGTTATGTTAATTTCGATTAATTTCCCTGAAGAAGTTTGGACCAGATTGTCGGACGAAACGTTGGAACTACTTATTTCAATTTCGCTGAGATTTTACAAATATAATTTTTTACAAATGCCTAATTGAATTTTCTTTTTAAAAATAAAACTTTAACACCTTTATGCGTATTTCTCTTATTTAGAATCTTCCAGATGAATGGAATGATTTAAAGAATACAGCCATCATAACTAAACAGAAAGTTCAACCATTACAAGAGAATGAAGTGCAAAATATACGTGCACAATCTGCTCATTATGATTATGAATCAGCTATGCTCAAGCAGAGTTTCGATTCCTCTGATGTATTCGATTTTAACTGTTTAACAGCATATACAGATTTAGATGAAGTGAGTTGTATTGATTGCACTTGTCAACCCCCAACTCCCACCTCTTGTCTACTCTAAAGTTTTTTTTATTTAATAAGTTTCATTTTAGATTATATCCAATAAACAGGGCTCCTTGAAAGGTAAAAAGAAAAATAGTTCCTGTCGTTATCTAATAGCATGGTAGTGTTCCTTAGGTGCTGGGTTCGAGCCTTGGTGGAGAAACCAATAGTCATTGGGGACTTCATATATATCCAGCTAATAAGTGACAAATAGGACGAAACGTGTATCCTTTATTCTACTCCCACTCACTAACAAAGAAACAAATTCGAGTTTAAATATGAAAAATTCCCGGTGATCAGTTCCTCTTTTATGTTCAACGGCTGAACAGACCTCCTGGGTATGCAGAATTTATACTCTGCCACATGGACTGTAATGTCTTCTATCGTTTGAAGTAGTTTTAATGTGTATGTCTCGGGTATGGTTCTCTCTAACTTTGTAGATGAGTCTCTAGTTAGTCTGTAAATTCACTTGACTCCACTTTTACCAGTTTGGTAAAACTGGTAGACAGTAATTTGCGTCAATATTTACGTTCCATATCTTGGTCATGAGAAAAAAACAAAAAGAACAAGGACTAATTCAACAACCAATCACAACAGACTTCGCGTGGGAGGGTACGATTCGCAGACCGTCAAAGAAACGGCCACAAAGATATGACAGAACAACCAATCAACCAATGAACAACAAGCAATCAGAAGACACTGTTTCTTTGTTAATAATAACGAATAATAATGTACATAAAAATATATAAATATCTCTTGATTTCCTCAATAAACGATCTGCTTCCCGGCCATTGTCTTCTGTCGATACACTGGTAGTAAGGCACGAATTGAAAGACTGAGTACATAGATAACGGTTCTAGAAGGTAATAGACTGACTAGGTAAACAGTCAAAACTTTTAGAAATACCTGTACTGAGGGACTCCGCAGATATGACTGTTAATCAAAACAGTGAAAGCAAAAAATGATGGTTGAACCTTCTTTGTTGTCTCCTTGTTAAAACACTTTAGAGATTGGAAGCCACTCTAGTACATGACAGACAAACTGTTACATTGAGGCTACATCAACACATATATCAGTTCACTTTCTTCTGCACCATGTACACGCTTGTAAAATGCTCATGTAAACAATATTACCTTTCCTGACTGAATAAAGGGCAGAACATATAGAGAACTCAGGGAACTCAACCCCATTCAGGAAAACCTGAATACTCTCATATGAGATCCAATTAAGCCTCTTAAAAGGAATGAGTTCAATACACTTGGGTATAATTAAAGCATTAGAGATCTGAAAATTCAAGTCGATGTTGTATTTATCTAAAAGAAGTATATTCAGCATTTGTCTCTGCCACAACTATCACATAACCAGTCTATTTCAATTTGATCCTCATTTGTGTTACGTAACTGCATTTTTGTTATTCGTCAGATTTTCACGCTTTGACAGAAGTAGTTCTGAAACTTTCTCACCTCACCCTTTCTGTTATATATTCATAAATGTACGGGCAAGCTGATAAACATGTCATAAAGAAAAATCTTTACCTCGCTGTGACCACGTTTTTGTTCTTCCTATACTATAGTAAATATACTTCGCAGTTCATTTAATTAAGATGTTAGCTGTATAACGGTGGTGAAATGGTAAAATACTCACCAACTACACTACACGTGGTCCTGGTTCGATTCTTGGCCCCCGAAACATTCTTAAATCTTTCTTATCCTAGTTAGGACCGAAAGTTAATTGTAAGGCTAGCAATTTCATCCCATAAAAAACAAAATTATAATCCCTACTGAAACTTCAGAGTAAAGGCTTGGAGGATTATGCGTGTTGCACGCCAAACACAAAAGGAATGAAAACAAAAATATCAATTAATATTATTATATTTATTATTATTATTTCCTTTAGTTCCTAGAGGAACATAGGGCTTCAGCTGCACGTCTCCATTGAGTTCGTTTCTCCTCTAGAGTTATCACCTGACTCTAGGTCTGCCCACATACTTTCATCTCCTCACATGATCTCCTCTAAATCACCCTTGGACGACCAACTCACTGCTTACATTCCGGGTTCCACTCGAGGGCTTTTCTAGTTCGCTCCCAGAGATCCCTGTTGCTGATGTTTTCTGGCCGGTCATCTGATCTTGAGTAGTGAGCGAAGGCAGAGGTTAATGAAGGTCTTTAGTTTGTTCGAGGTGCCCTTCGTGACTCGCCGGGCCTATGATCCATATACTAAGTAGCACTGACTTCACATTCGAGTTGAGAATCCGGATTTTTTTTTTGATACTGAGTGTTGTTGGTAATCCCCAATCATATTTTAGCTCTACCAATTTTTCATTTTTTCATTTTGTCTATTCACTTTGTATACTCTACCTTATTAAGTCAATTGTTACTATTAGTATTTTCACTTTGAACTGTCCCCGGTATAATTTCACTTGTTCCACTTGTCATTCTAAATCAATTGTTTCCTACAACGATAAATTCTATGCTATTAAATTTCACACAATATTACGTAACGTTTTTATTTTATTCGATTTGTCTACTAATCCAATAATTGCACACCCTTTTTCAAGTTCTATCCCTCCTATAAATTATTCTATATATGACAATAATTTGCTTTACCACTTGACATTTAACTATAAGCATAATCACAAAAATTTTAGTTTTTTAATTGCACTTCATATTATTATTATTATTTTATGCATTCACACCTAAGATTCAATTCCCTCACCGGATATAACTTCTTAAAAACCATATACATATACGACTGTACAGTTTGATGATAAATTCGTTGAAAAGAGTCTCTTCGCTGAATCACTTGTTTTGATTTTCTAAATGAAAGCATGCCTTGCTTGCCCGATCCTCACTTTGATATCCTCGTCAGTTCCGTCCGTCTGTAGTTCAGACGAAGCTTCCCAGGTGGGTAGGTAAAGGAGGATGCTTCTTTCAGATTCCTCCAATTCATACTGGCTGATTGCTGTCTATTGTTGTTGCCGCTGTTGGTGTTGCCCAGGAACCTTCATCACCTCTGCTTTCTCTGCGTTCACCTGAAGTCCTATCTTTGATGCTCCTTCTGCCAGCTTGTTGCTTTTCACTTGCATATCTTCCAGTTTGTGGGAAATCAGACATATATCATCATCGGTGAAGTCCAGATCCTCCAAGTTTTTTGTGTGAGTCCATTTTATGCCTGTTTCCTCATTGCCCGCCCGTTGTCTGTCGCATTATCCAATCTACCGCAATCAGGAAAATCATTGACGATAGTAGGCGACCCTGTCTTACTCCCGTCTTTACTTCGAAGGATTCCGTAAGTTTCCCGTTATGGATTACTTGGCATGAAGCATTGTCGTAAAACTGACAGATGAGATGTATAATTGTCGATGGGACCCCGTAGTAGCGAAGTAGTTTCCAAATCACTTCCTGATCGACAATTAATATTATGGTATTGTTTGTTGTTCTCTTTGGTTCTGAGTAGAATATACAGATAGGTTCAACAGGGCATCTTCACTGTGTCCTGTTGTCTCCTGTCCTATATAGCTGGCTCGTGTCATCTCTTCACACGATCTACTCCATATCAACTTCGGACTAAGGCTGAACTCAGCGTTTCCCATTTGGGATCCACTTGACCAATGAATGGTCTGGTGTGCGATGTCGCTAGATGGTCTCCTCAGTGTGTGTCTCTGATCCATCTCCATTATCTTCGACATATTTGTTGAGCAATAGGTTCTTGGTTAGTTCTTTCCTAGGGTTTCTTGTTCCTAATTCTTTCTGGTCACCTGGCCATTTGATGTTCTGTGTTAGGAGATACCGAGGGCAGCTGTTAATAAAAGTCTTCACCTGGGTGTTGAAAACACTTTTTGTGACCTACAGTGCAAGTTGCAAATCCATATAGATGAACTGATGGATTGACTGACTTAACGCTGATGTTGAAAATTTGAGTCTTGTTTATGCGCCGGTGGAGTGCAGAACACTTGTAAAATGATCCCATCAGATTGAAGGTGTGCCTAACCCTTCCAACTCTGGGTTTATTATCTCTGTTTCCTTTACACCTCAGTTTATTTCACTGAGATAGTAATGATGAATTAAGCTCACATGAGTGTTTATTTTTTTATTCCTATCTACGTCTGTATTTAAAAAAAATCTTCTCTTTCACTTTTCATATAGTGGAATCAAAAACTATTGAAACTTGAACAAGGTGTTGGTGAAATGCAAATCTCAGCTAAATCATTTGAAGTACGTGATGTACCAGCTTATTTAGATATGAAAACAATGCGACGTGGAATGAAGACAACTAAACGTGTCTGGGATTATATTAACATGTTTAGAAGTTATGTAACCAATTGGAAAACATCACGATGGAAAGAAATTGATTTTGGTACTATTGATGAAGTAAGTATAGCTTAATTACTTACTCTTCATTTTTTCAAAAATTATGTGTTATGCAATCCACTTGTTATAGACATTTCTACCTTCTAATTGTTTGTATATGAAACCATTTGTTCCCTTTATGAATCTGGACTAAACAATAAGAAGACGTAATTTATCTGAATAGTGGGGTGTGTTTGCGGTGCAAGACATTTCGAATAATGTGATCATACACCACGAACTGGTCATTTATTATTTATTTTTTTTATTTTATTTTTTTATTTTTTGATTACAGCTTGATTCCACACTGTATTTTTGGTACAAGTATGGAATTTTCAGCGTGGATATCGGTAGCCCGAAATTCGCAGGCCGACCATAGATATCAGCTGTGCGTTGGCGAGGGCTCGAACCCGGGACCATGTGCATGGTCGGTGAGAGTCCTAACCACTGTGCCACCGACGCAAAGTCACCAAGCGTTAGTTAAGTGGTGAGCGAATAGACGTTGATTGTCAATTTAAAAGGATGCAGTATTGAAGGTCAATATAACATTCGAGAGGGAGGTAATAGTACATCTGCCCTGGTATGTATCAAAATAAAGTTTACTAAGGAAGGTGGTACAGTGTCATGAAGAATTGTTTCTTTGAACACACAAATGTGGTTTAAACTTCCTAATTTCTACAGCTTCAACAAACTTTAGGATACGTCTCAAACACGTTTTATAGATAGGTTGAATAAAGGAGGTGTAAACATAAATTTTATTTCCTGTCTCTACAATACATCCGTTCTCTCAATTAATGGATTAAAATGGTTCCATTTGCTTCTGAAGCCATTTCAGATTATGCTCTGAAGTCCTTACGTCCAAACATCGACAAGTCCTCCCTGTGTATGTGTATGGCTATAGGTGCATTTAAATTGGTAGATAGAGTGGTAACTGACAACATTTTTCGTATGTTCTAAGTGCTCACATGGATATATGAGCTTCACATTCACCTATATACAGTAGCTTGATATAAATGTCTTTCCTGGTGGCGAGTTGGAGAATGTGTCTTGGTGTTCCACTGACCACTTCAGATCTCCTAATGAACTTCTCTGGATAATTATTATCAACCGGGGTTTGTGTCAGTTTTCTCTCTTCATTTTTAAGTGTGTCTTCTATGCATATTCGTTGGATTCTACTGACACAGGCATCTCACCAAGGCTCTTTCGCGCCGAATAGATGAGAAACTGTGACAATTAAGATATTGTCCTATCTAGGTAGGTATTCCGTAAACAGATCGTTTTATTGATCCATCAGGCTGTCCATCGACTAAGTAATATATGTAGGACAGATAAGCAATTATCTTCCTCTCCTACAGACACAATTGACATGTTATTTTGAATTTCATTCATTCGATTTAAAATTGAAGTGGCAGAACAATGCTTATCAATGTTCATCAGAATGTCATCGACATATCTTCTAGGAACTGGTACATTTTCAATTAGATCTTCCGATAAACTTTCAATGCTCAACACATAGATTTCTGCTAAATTTATCGTGAACGGGCTTTCCTTAGAAACACCATCAACCTGACAGGAGCAGTCACCTTCAAATGTAAGCCTAACATTTCTGGTACACAGAAGTAATAAACGCTCTAAATAAGATATAGGGAACGGGACCAGCAAATTATGTGTGGTGAAATGTAATCACACAAAATGTCAGTTGTTTTGAGTAGAGGGACATTAGTGAATATGGAGTCCATCCACATCAAAAGAATACAAGTTTTTATTTACAATATTGATATCATCAAGGTAACTGACCAGTATTCAAAGATACATTTAAACTGATACTGGAAATAATTCTGTGAAATATGTGGGATTAATAAGCGATGAGTGTTTGATTACTCTGGGTTAACATTTAATCTCCTAGTTACTGTCATACTACTGAACAGTAGTAAGTAGTATGAGATATGCAACGAATAAAGTGGAAGCATTTGCTACAATTTACTACCCAATGGGCAGTTGAAATATTCACCAGCATCACGAGCACTTCATACATACCCTCTCTTAACATCTTGAATGCATGACATAGTAAGTTCGCTGGTGTGAACGGGTTTATATCGAATACAGTAATCATCCTGTGGTCATATTATACATGATTTGCCTCAAACCGTTGTGTAATGCTTGGTGTGGTAGTGATGGTGTTATGCAGTTGAGGTGGATGGATGTTGGTAATGTCCTTAATGTTATTGCGTTTCGGTTTGGAACTTGTGTCACAGGAAATTTTTAACCCAATCGACGAAATGGCTACAGTAAATACCACGACCCATGTGCGTGATTTTCTTTCGCGGTGCCGGGACACCGGATGATGTCACGACCGATTAATTTTGGGTGTGTTTCTTAACACAGGCCAAAGCCTGTGTTCATTCCATTTGCTTCTGAAGCCATTTCAGATTACGCTCTGAAGTCTTTACCTCCTGCCCACATATGTGTAGCCATAGGTACATTTAAATTGGTAAATACAGTGGGATGGGACACCATTTTTCATATGTTCTAAGTGCGTAAATGGATTTATAGTACTTACATTATCGATTATTCTGATCCTAGCTTTTAACCGCAGATTTCAGTCCCTGTTGAATTACCAGGCTGCTGTAACAAGCCATACACAGCAGCTTGATATATACATCCTTATTAGTGGTGAGTTGGAGAATGAGTCTTGATATTCCGCTGACCATTTTAAACCTCCTTATGAACTTAACAAGATAATTATTATCAACCAGAGCATGCATCAAATTTCTCTCTTCACCTTCAAGTATATCTTCCATGCTTATTGGTTGGATTCTGCTAAAGAGACACCTCACTAAGACTCCGAACAGGAGAGAAGCTGTGGTAATTAAGGTACTCTCCAGTCTGGATGGATTTTCTATAAATGCATCATTTTATTGATCCATCAGACTCTTGGTCGACTGAGTGATATATCTAGGAAAGATAAACAATTATCTTCCTCTTCTACAGGCTAAAATTATGTTATTTTTTTAACTTCATTCATTCAACTTAAAATTGAAGTGGCAGAACGAGGCTTATCGCTTATAATTACAATGTCATCGATATAACTTATATAAACTGATACACTTTCGATTAAATCTTCCGCTAAACCCTCAATGTTCAACATATACATGTCTGCTAAAAGTGATATCAACAGGCTTTCCATAGCAGTACCATCAACCTGATGAAGGTGGTCACCTGCAAATGGAAACATGACATTACTAGTAAAGAGAAGTATTAGACCCTTTTATTAAGATGTAGTGAACGAGATCAGGAAATTATGTGTAGTGAAATGTAATCACATAAAATGTCAGTCGTTTTAAGTAGAGGGACATTAGTGAATGAGGAGTCCACATCAGAAGAATTTCTGTTGTTATTTACAGTATTGGTATCATCAAGGTAATTAATCAGCATTCAAAGACACATTTGAGCTCATAGTGGAAATCATTCTGTGAAATATATGGGATTAATAACAGATCACTGTTTGATTACTTTGCAAAGCATTTAATCTCCTTAGATATGATAGAGAAGATTTGTAGCTCAGGTGGATAATTTTGATGTGGTTTTGTTCTCTGAGCTGGATGGTTAGTTTGCGAAGCTTTCATCGCCCTACTGGGTGACATCTTCAGCGCATACCTCAATTTGAAGTGAGCTTTTAGGTTTCTCCACGAGTTTATTAATCATTCCTCCTGGTGACCTTGGACGTGATTGGTTGTTTATGTGTGTTTTCACACCTTCTAGGTTACTTGTGTTGGAACTGATTGTTTCTGTGACTTGAACTTTGACCCTTTGTGTGTGAGGTTTCTTTCTTATTGGTTGATAAATTTTGTCTATCTCGATGTGTCTATTGATTGATGATTCACTGGAATGCCAAGCTTCTAAAAATTCTCTAGCATTCTTGTGTTTTCCTCTGTCTAATATTTGAACGTTGTCCCAGTCGAATTGATGTCCGTGGTTGTCTGTGTGTAGTGAAATGAGGGAGTGTATATCATGTCTTTTGACGGCTAGCTTATGTTTGTGGATACGAAGACGAAGGGGACGTCCACTTTGGCCAATGTAGTGTTTTTCACAGTTGTTACAGTTTATTTTGTAGATGATGTTGGTTTTGTCTTCTTTCGCTGTTGAGTCTTTTGGTTGACATAGACACATCGAGATAGACAAAATTTATCAACCAATAAGAAAGAAACCTCACACACAAAGGGTCAAAGTTCAAGTCACAGAAACAATCAGTTCCAACACAAGTAACCTAGAAGGTGTGAAAACACACATAAACAACCAATCACGTCCAAGGTCACCAGGAGGAATGATTAATAAACTCGTGGAGAAACCTAAAAGCTCACTTCAAATTGAGGTATGCGCTGAAGATGTCACCCAGTAGGGCGATGAAAGCTTCGCAAACTAACCATCCAGCTCAGAGAACAAAACCACATCAAAATTTAATCTCCTAATTACTGTCACACTACTGAACAGTAGTAAGTAGTATGAGATATGCAACGAATAAAGTGGAAGCATTTGCTACAATTTACTACCCAATGGGCAGTTGAAATATTCACCAGCATCACGAGCACTTCATACATACCCTCTCTTAACATCTTGAATGCATGACATAGTAAGTTCGCTGGTGTGAACGGGTTTATATCGAATACAGTAATCATCCTGTGGTCATATTATACATGATTTGCCTCAAACCGTTGTGTAATGCTTGGTGTGGTAGTGATGGTGTTATGCAGTTGAGGTGGATGGATGTTGGTAATGTCCTTAATGTTATTGCGTTTCGGTTTGGAACTTGTGTCACAGGAAATTTTTAACCCAATCGACGAAATGGCTACAGTAAATACCACGACCCATGTGCGTGATTTTCTTTCGCGGTGCCGGGACACCGGATGATGTCACGACCGATTAATTTTGGGTGTGTTTCTTAACACAGGCCAAAGCCTGTGTTCATTCCATTTGCTTCTGAAGCCATTTCAGATTACGCTCTGAAGTCTTTACCTCCTGCCCAC